GGACTTGATGATCTGCTCAGGTCCCTCCTGACCCTACAAACTATGAAACTATGAATTCTCGTGCCCCTGCTAAGTCACCAGCCAGGGCTACTGCCCCACTAGCCCACCCCATGTTACGCTAATAGAAAAGTAATTGTAATATTAGGTGTTGAATATATCCTGTTTCTCCATCTCATGCCGTCTGACCTCGGTCCTTTTCCTGCCTGGGGTAGGGGGTCAGGACATGATGATCCTTCAGGGTCCCTTCCGACTCTACAATCTATGAATCTATGCCAAAGCTATAATTACATTATGAACACAATTAACCACGTGTTCAGACTTAGGATGCAAAATATTGAGATGTTTATTAAAGCTCAAAGTTAGCTTACCTGAGCACTGTCAGTATCCCGGATTCCTAGTATATATGGGTTTCCTTCAAAGATTAACTTAGGTTTTGCTCCAGCACATAGGCAGAGTTTTTCATATCTGTATTCCTTGCCATCTTCTGTAAACATTTTCTATTAAAAGATTGAAGATAAAGCCCGCCCCCCCAAAAACAGGTAAGCTAAGAAACTCAAACTATACTTAAGTTCTGAGTACATTACAGGTACCCAAAGCTGAACCTGGCTATTAAAAGGAAGACAAAAATAAATTAAGCAAACCCTTTTTTTTTCACTGATTAAAAAGTTACCTTTTTATACTACGCTCCCCTCATCACCTAAACCAGTGATTCTCAACCAAGGTGCCATTAGACCCTTTAAAGAGTGTTGGTGTGCGAGGAAGGAGATAAAAAGGTAAGATCCTTGCCTGGCTGATCCTCTACCTCCTCTGCCCATTCCCTCTGCAAGCAGGTAAACACTGTAATATAAAATGTAGCTTTTGAAATAGGGTGCTACTCAAATCCCAAAGGTTATGGAGGTCTGCCTCGTGTCCACTGAAAAGTTCCTTGAGTCCAAAAAGGTTGAGAATCACTGACCTAAATATATAATTATGTACATATAAATTCAATAAAGGATGCAAGATAAAATATAAAGCTCACCTCTGGATGGCACCCTATACACTGTAAGTGGAAAAGGAAGAGTAAGGTTTGTATATGAGAACAAACTAAAGAAGGTTGCTTTATGCCCAAAAGCTTGTCAAATTTCTCCCCCAACTATACAGCTGGTCCAATAAAAGACCCTCACCTCTTGTACATTTCCTGGACCACCAAAGATATGCTAATACTCTAACCCAATTAGACTATTTTTTCTCTAACTTGGCAATTCTACTTACTTTGTTTGTTAAGTGCTATTCTATCTATTTACATATTTTGTAGAATGGAAGTGTGTGATTAATGTACATAGGTAATAATATTGTATTTATAAAGAACTCTGTTAAGCCAGCCTTGGGTCTGGAGAGTTTGTTTGTGAATCTCAGTTCACAACTATGTTCTATCTTTAGAAGTCCTAAAAGATATGAGTCCCCATATTATGAATGCAACCCCATGTAATTTCACATATGACAAACTAAAGGGCTGAGCCAAAACTTATTTAAATCAGTGCAAAGGCTCTGATTCACTTCAATCCTTCAGCTCAGATGCTGAAAGAACACAGATCAGAGAAACTGTCCATGCTACATTTTTTGCTCTATACCCCTCAAGCCAGATGGGTTGCATGGAGCCAGGCCACGGGCTGAATTAATGTCCTGGCCCCAGGTACCATGCGCAAAGCGTTCTGGCCCAGCAGATCCAGCACACAGACATGTAGCATGTGTGTCAGCTCCAAAACCCACAGGTAATACCATGAGCCAGATGATAGGGCTCTGTGGGCCAGATCTATATTTTTGACACCGCTGATCTAAACTAAAGAAAAAAGGAGCCACATCATGCTGCAACAAGTGAAAAGCAGCATTTTCTCCTCTCCCTCCTAGGTGTGCCTACATTATGGTAGTTCTGTGTAGGAGAATGTTTATAGAAGTCTTTGGGATGAAAGGTGATATATTAAGGGCCTCCCAGGCACATCCCTAAAACCAAAACAACATGCAAATAATGCTTTGTACTCAAGAACATATTATTGTACCAAAAATGCATAATATGTGCACAACTGTGGAATTCTTCATCCTTACCACAACAATCCTAATTAAAGTTTTAGTGGATACATAAACAAAGAAAACCCAGAATTGGACCTGAACAAAATCATCCAACTCTCCTTAATAAGAGACATAAAGAGGCTTAAACAGAGAAAGCACACCATATTTTTGCTAATGGAAAAGGAATGGAAATGTGTTTCAAAAATATTTTTTATAATAAAGTGATATGGTTATTACTATTTTTTAAATCTCTTTGACCAAAATCTGAGAGGTGACAGAAATCTCCCATTAATGATTTAAAAACTCTTCTGGAGTCTAAACTCTACAAATATCTGGTTTTACAATCAACTCTTAGAATTTTATTGCAATTTTCATTGCACAAATCACTTCTTCTCTCTTATACCTCCTATGAGGGCAAAACTATTCATTTTCAAAATGTACATGAAATCAGAAAGAAAAGGTTTCATTTACATGTTCCTTGCTTTTTAGCTGTGTGATTCCAGACTGTATAACTTTAATATTGGGATACCGTTTTTCTAACACAGAGCTCGGTTGTTCTTCAACATCAAATTCCTCGAGTGTTTTGGAGACCTGTAACAAAACAACAAGCAGAATATGTACGCTTTAAAAATCTTTCTTTGGTAAGGTTTATCATCAAACCTATTAATTGCTAAATAGATGTGTGGGGAGCTAGGACTAGAAGAGGAGAAACTAAGACTAGAAGCTCGTAA